GTGAGGCCAAATACTCCTTTCCCCTGGTTCCAACCTGGTTGCCTCCCTTGCTCAGAACACAAAACCCACTGTCCTGCTTTTGGCTGGGATAGAGTTAGTTTTCTTCCTAGCAGCTGGCATAGTGCTGTGTTTTGGATTTAGTATGATAAGAATGTGGATACCCCGCTGATGGGTTAGTTGTTGCTAAGCACTGCCTAGACTGGTCAAGGACTTTTTCAGCTTCCCATGTTCTGTCAAGATGCACAAGAAGCTGGGAGGGGGCACAGCCAGGACAGTTGACCCCAACTGGCCAAAGGGCTATTCCAGACCATATGACGTCACACTCAGTGTCTAAAACTGGGGGAAGAAGGAAGTGGGGGATGTTCAGAGTGATGGCATTTGTCCCAAGTCACCATTATGCGTGATGGAGCCCTGTTTTCCTGGAGATGGCTGAACACCTGCCTGCCCATGGGAAGCAGGGAATGAATTCCTTGCTTTGCTTTGCTTGCGTGCGTGGCTGGCTTTTGCTTTACCTATTAACCTGTATTAATCTCAACCCACCAGTTTTCTCACTTTTACTCCTCCCATCCTCTCCTCCATCCCACCAGGGGGGAGTGAGCAAGTGGCTGTGTGGGGCTTATTTGCCGGCCGGGGTTAAACCACAATGACCATGCTTTGAAAAATCCCTTCTTTTTCAAGGTTTCATTGCCGGAATAGGTTTTCAGACACCTACTGAGTGGTTAGCTGTTTGTGTAAGTAACAACTGATACATCAGAACATACTTTCAACGCCAAAGGCTGCTGTAGAGACACCTCAGCCTATCTGCTATACTGAGTCACCACTCTCAAATACATCCCTTCCTCTGATACCCATCCACACCTGATCTTGTGGTTTTGAGCTCGATAGGAAAGATTGTTCCACAACTGGCTTCCACCACTTCCAGACTACACTGTGGTAGAAAGACAGCTTTGCCAACCCTCTCCATCCTCCACAGCTGCACGCTGTGCTGCCACCACACTGTCGCGTTGAGACTTGAAGTCAAGCAGCAAGCCAAAACAATCTGCTGATCCAGATGACCTCCAAACTCTCCTGTCATTACTGTTAACACAGAAGAGGTCAGGACCTCCCCTACTCACAGATGCTTGCAGTTAGATAAAGAGCAAGTAATACTCTACCCTTAAGTCCATATTAGAGCCACTGCTGTGCTTTCGTGTTCCACAGCAAAAAAACCCCACAAAACAATAGAGAGAAAAGGACTATAAATTAGATCCCTGCATATATGAAAGGTTTCATTCTGAATCTATCTATACGTAGCAGATGAGCAGAAAGGAAACTTTAGCATTATTGACATCAAAAAGGAACCTTAAATTCTATACATGTTTGCAAGTCTCTGGGAACCGGATAGAAAGAATAATACGTTAAAAGTTTTTAGGAAAGTATCTGAAAAGGACTTTATAAATTAAGACTTCTTTTAAATGAAGATTAGCCATTTTTTCAAGTATTAGGCTATTTTAAAAGCTCAGTATTTACACTAAGAATATAAAAAGAGCAACTGATTTTTATGATATTAATTCCCATGTTTCACAACTGTAGTGTTTTCTATTACTGACCTCAGGAAAAAAAAGACTGTAAACGGGATGCGTAATCTTTGACTTCGTTTCAAGAAGGGCTCGTTCCTTTCTCTGTATACTTTGCTGTAATTCTTGCCACTCCTGTCAAAGACAAGTTTAAAGAGTTACTGTGCACTAGCCATTTTTTCCATTAAAAAAAAAAAAAAAAGAAATTTTAGCCCATGGAAATGATATATATGACAAGTTCCTGTGCTACACTACACATTATAAAAGTGAAAGGCACATAGAGATTAAGTTATACAGTATGATTAAAAGAAGAAAAAAAAAAAAAAATCAAGCTACAGTAAAACTTAGACTATTCCTGTAAATATTAAAAAAACCAAACCAACCAGAACAGAACACAGATCTGCAGGGCTTGCACACATTCTTCAAAACTCAGTTTTACAGCACTGCCTATAAACACTCACTGTCTGAGCTGTAAGAGCCCTGATTACAAGCTCGATGATTCTCTTCCCATCAGAAGCTTATTGTCACCCTGTACAGGACTTCAAGACCTGCAGTGCAGAGATCATCTACCACCCCAATGCCTCATTCTCAGTTACAATTTCGAATAACTAACTTAATAACAACAGTCACTGGAGTTTAGTAAGCACATGTATATGTTCCTTCAACTACTGCATGCTTATAGTACGCACTGTGCAGCATCCAACAGCTGCTGCATGTAAAGAACAAAGTTCAAAGGAGAGACTATCTCACAAAATCTGCAGCAGCTAGTAATCAAATTAAGCTGAAAGAAACATTACAATCTCTCCCTAAAGTTAATCTATTTTTCTCATGTCATTTTTAAGTTTTCTGTCTATGCTGCAAAGACCCTTCACTGCTCTCTCTGAAAGAGACTTGCAATGACAAAGCTCTTATGCTGGAATGAGGTCTGAAAACCTCTGGAGAACTGATATTACTCCTTCATCCTAGTGTTGCCTAGCCTGAGGGGATGCTAGAGGATTAAAATGCATTTTCTCTCAACCCCAGAGGCAACATTATACTTCAAGAAAAAGTAAGGCTTACAGCTTCATCATCTTTGTTTTGCTTCTCATCTTGTTCTCTGTCAGAGTCTCTGTCACTTCCATCATCTTTTTCACTTTGAGAGTCCCTGTTTGTTTCTTCTTCTTCGGATTCACTTCCTTTATCAGAGATCTCCTCCTCTTCTTCCTTCGCAACAACTTCCTAATTGGGGGGGGGGGGGGGGGGGGGGGGAAGAGGGAGAACCACAAAGGACAAACCCCTCAAACTTAGTTGGTCTGCATTATTTGCATTATTGTAGTATACAGCATTCACAGCACCCATCTTAAGGTCATAGCCCTTATTTCCTATTTTGATCTACACTCTTCTTGTATCACAGATTATGTCTACAGTGAAGATTAATTCTTTTCACCTCATGTGCTAAGAGGAGCAGGGAAGCAATTTTCCATCTCCATATGGCACCCGCAACATGAATATGAGAAAATAGTATTTGATTATTGCATTTCAAAAAGTCATAAGAAAATTAGAGAGAATATAAGAAAATACCTAAAACATAGCCCATGAGGTGGAGAAAACACCATGCAGTGGGAGCATAAACATACTAAAGCTACTAAATTTACCAGAATAAAGTCTCATTTCATTTATTTTTCCTTTAAAGGAAAAGTAGAAGGTACAGAACAATTAACCTCCCAGAAGGCAGCATAATAAGAACATAGTAAGAGGGCATTATGATGCCAGACTTCTAAAGTAGTTGGGCACAACTTTCAGCAGGCCACTGGAAACATCCGCGGTGGTTCTCTGATGATTTTACCAGTAATTTTTAAATGTAAAGAAAAAAATGCTATTTTAGAAAGAACGCTTTACAAAAGCATAGAATGAAATGTAACAGACATACAAAAACCCCATCAGATCAGGCCTGATAAACTGAACAAAATACTAAAATATCAATGAATTTATGAGCTACCCCATTAGCTTGTTTTTGCTTCTGCTGTTTCGGTGGCTGCAATGAAGGTGGCACAGGTTTCTTCTTCAATGGCTTCTTTTTCTTCGATTTTGAAGCTTTCTTTGTTCCTTTATTCTTTTGCTGCCATCCTTTGCTCTTAACTTTGTTGACATCTCCTTGCTGTAGGAAAGCAGTATTTAAAATGTTTATTCTGTTCATTAAATTTCAGGCATTCACTGTACTTTAAGCATTTTAAGCTGAGAACCAAAGTTAGAAAACATAGCTCAAGAGACACTTCAGTAGGCATTTCTGAAAAACAAATGCTTGAGAAGCGCACAATTAGCAACTCAAGATCTGAAAGAAAGCTCTCTTTAGCTAGCAAGAGGATTGTTCATTTTTCACTTACCCCATCTTCTGTTGGTTGCTCTTCCGCTGCACATATAGACTGTTCCTTTTCAAACACTTCCTAGTTAAAGAAAGATGTGAAAACAATTAATGCCTTTCTGTATACCAAAAAAGCAAGTTATTTTATAGTTGAACTAAATCACCTTAATCAGGTCTGAAGGTTTTACTCATGGCAAAATCTTTTATCAGTGACAAACAACAGGGGATTAACAGATCTAAATTAAACACTATTTTGAACATTTGGTCTAGGATTTTTTCATCTCTAGCATTGTAAGGAAATTTAGTAACAACATGTCATCTTGTTCCAGGGAACCTACTTGTTTTATAAAGCATAGAAATCCTGTATCACAAAAGCAAGCAGTAGTAAAATGCAAATTCTGCTCCAGTTGCCAGAGCATTAAAACCCTCAACAGCTGCACTGCTACTCAGGGACACAGGACAACAAATCAAACCAGAAATATGAAACACTAAGACAAAACACAGTGTTAGTATTATGTAGACTAGCACATCTCTATGCAAATGGATTTTTTTCAAGCATTTCTTTCTTCAAAACATACTACATGCCATTCAAAAAAAATTCAGTCATAAAGAGCTGTCTTACATAAAGATGGCAAATATGAGATACCACCACCACAAAAAAAAAAACCCCACCCCACATTATATAAAGGCCAGCTCTGTTTTTTAGGCCATGTATCTCAATGCCAGACTGCCTAGTGGAGTTCACATAGAAAACATCTTAAATGAGTTTTCTATATGCTGTCAGACATTTTAATTAATTTCTAAGTACAGTTCAGCATGCTCACAATTTTCAGTTTCCTTCATTTTTAAGATCCAGAATAGTGATATGGTGCTTTTACCTTCTACCTACTGCATCCTCAGTTACCAAGATGATGCATTCTGAAATTCCATAGCATGAACACATAGTACTTATATATCCAGACGGCTTTCTGCTGAACTGGCTTCAAAGGCTAGTCTGATCCTCAACCGTAATACTCATCTTTGTATGTCTTACCTTAGAGGCATAACTGAGACTTTCCGTTTACTTAGACAATTATCTGAATAGTACAGATGCAAAAATTGATACTGTATGCTTTGTTAGGTAGAAGTTTGTTTAGTTTCTGTGCATTAATTTTCTTCTTCAAAGAAAGTCATTACTGCATTTAAATTTCTGACTTGTGCTTATTTTTCAGCTTAAACTACTAGGGTGTAATATTAGTTTGGTTATGCCACGTTGCTACCCATTCAGCAGTCCACCTTCTTTATGTGGCACCGGTGTACCTCCTTTATATTAAGTTATGTATATTCTGCATTCTGCTGGACTGAGTTTCTTTCATAAAAGTGTCTAGAACACCCAAGAGATTTGTAACATTATGAGCTCACATGAAGTGAAATCAAACACTGTCCTAAGGACTTGAGTGAATACTTTATTCTTGTTCAAGAGCTAAGTTTCTGAAAGTCTCTTTTCCTGTTATTTACAAATCTCAGGGCAGTATCACTTGCCATATTCTTTTACTGTTCCCTAGACAACGGCAACGGGTCAGACTGAACTTTGGTTTGATTCCAGGAAAACTCTCTCATTCAGAAAAGAAAACAAAAGGGAGGATTAAGAGCACAAGTTCTCAATTTCAAATCTTAATTTTACAGTTATATTTACAAAATAATATGTTAGCTTGCAAAGAAACGCCTGTTTATTTCAATATACGTGCAGTATCCCCGAAAGAACAAGTATTCTCAATACTTACTGCCATGGTCTGTCTTGTTAGTGTGACCAGAACAGTGACAAGAGAACCTACTGTAATATTGTTGCTGTCTTCATCATCCAAAACTAGTGTAAAAAGAAAAGCAACACATCTATTAAACACCTTTACAGCCTTTTTTCCATTAAACATTGTTGCTGCTATGTCTAAATGTAAGCATACAAATTCCAGAACTTTTAACAAAAAATAATTTCAAAATACCGTTTAATAAGTTTCTCACAACCTTAAATATACTATCAGGATGAAGGCTGTTAATTCAGCAAACTATAAAACAGCAACATTGAGTTTGAAATTTTAATTGCATGAAAGTTAGAAAATTGAAAGTTATAGCTGCTGTGGGAACCATAACTCTGTAATACTGTGCATTATATATTAAAGCATAAAACTTCAGAAACATGAAATACCACACATGACCAAAGGGACCCTGTTATATTTGTTCTGGGAATCATAACTTTGATTTTCCTGGCTTTCATATGATTAACAACTCAATTTCAATGCCACATTAACAATCATGCATTTAATTCTTTTTTTAAGTAGAAGGCAAAAGAAAATAAAAGAACAGCAGTGATTATTCTAACTAAAACATCAAACAGAAAACCCACAGGAAAGCCACTGAGGACTTTGTATCTCTACTCTATGAATGGCAGAATGTCCCAGGTTGCGGAGGAATAGAGTACGTAACATAGAAATTTTATTTATTTGCCCCCCCACTATTCACTAGTTTTACATACATATTTTATATAATGGTAATACTGAGCTAAACAGAAAAGCATATGCATTGTTTAATCCTCCACACCACACCTGAGTACAGTTGTGTGACAAATGAAGGCTATAGGCAGAAAAGGGTTGCTTGCCAAGATACGGGAAGGCACTCCAAGACTGAGTTTTAAGCAGATTAACAGGACTGTGTACAATCCTGTGCTATAATAAGATAAAGTCGTTTGTTTTTAAAAAAAACCACACACATAAACAACATTTAGAAATACCAAGATTAACAGACATTTGCTTCCTTAACAGATATTTCCATTAACATTTGCTTCTCATGGAGGACTACGCATAAGGCAAATTACAAATTAGCCACCCAAACAAAACATACCGCATTTTTAATTTGATCATTACAACCACAGTAACAATACAAATTAGAAACAAGTATTAGAACCACCTTCCCAATCTCTCACATTTACTAGCACTGATCTTCTTCGGAGGAAAGGAGACCACAGAACCAATTCACTTTCCACTGAAAGGCTGTCTAACAGGAACTGCTTAACAATACACTTTATCTTCAGAGAGGAAGAGCATTATACGTTCATTGAAACAGTGCACACAAAAGGTAGCTAAGCCCAGCATGTACAAACTCTGCCAGATATAAAAACTATACAAGGATTATCACAAAAGAACCCCATGAATATTTAGTCATCAGGGTCTCCAACTCAAAATCTCACAAAGGACTCTTCGTGCTGGAGTAAGCTGAGCATAAATTCTGGAATAAGCACAGCTTTTTAAGATAGCTAATAAAAGTGGTATTTCAAGCAGAATTCCACATTGCTCATGAAAAATTAAATCAACAGATGAAATATCATAAGCTCCTGCAGGAGAAAGTACTGCTGGCTTGGGAATCTGTGAAATGTTTCAATGTACTTTATCTCCTCAGACTATAAATCTCATGTACAAGAGGCCGCCACTCAAAAAAAGTATGTCATTTCCAGGCCACATAAATAACGGTGAGTTGTGTTTCAGCGTCCTCCAAAAGCTTACTGCCAACAGACTATCAAAATGTCAGAGGAGTGACATACACAGAACAAAAGGGCCTCCCACTCACCTTGTGGTTTTATATCCATAGTGACGTACGGGAAGCTGCCAAGGACAGCCATAACTTCATCATATTTCTTATCTTCTAAGAAGTGCAGTAAATTGCGACGATCAGAACCTTTCAAACTCACCAGATCCTGAATACTTTTGATCTTATACTGAATTAAAAAAAGAAGGAAGTCACATTGTAGCAGAGAAACATAGGCCACAAATAAACTCTCGACAATCCATCACTTGTGTCCCCACGTTACTAACACATACACATCAGTTGATTTGTGCTTATTAAAAAAACCCACACCACACTTTTAAGAAACTAGCAAGCGTATGTTTTGAGAAACAATGGAAGAAAGAGGTTGCATTCAGACCTAGCATCACTTTGAACATTAGCGTGTTCCTTACTATGTCACCTCTTAGAAACTGGATACATTTCTTATAAAACTATTATTTCAGCCAGCTTTTTCAGAAAGCTGAGTCAAGAAATCTTACTAATCAGGTTCTTTATTTAGATGGGAGTACTTCAGTGCTTTGAGATTTATATTAGCAGGAACAACTAAGTACAAGGTATAGTTTTTTCCCCCATAGTGAACCGTAAATAAATCTAAAACCATGCCTTTTAAGATTTGCAGAGCAGAGCAAAAAGCATGAAAAAAACCACAGATTTGTCTGAACACTCAATCACTTCAGCGTTATAAATGTATGTATTTTATTAAAAACAACTTCATGCATCCAGCTAGCCTTGTCATACTTCCAGTCCAGGGGACTGTATTTAATAGCTCAACGCATGGGAAACCTGCGGAAACAAGCCTAATAAATTGGTCTCTTCCCTCTTTCAGGGGAAGGACAGGTAGGATTATGAAATGGCCAAATTCTTGATTTTTGTACTTGGTTACGCTGCACGTGTCAAAAAAATACATCTAAAATTGCGTACTTTCTTGTATGCTCCCTGTAGCTTAGGGCTGGATTAAGAACAGCAAGTGTTTGATGGGAGAATGATTCTTTTACTTCATTTAAAGGAAAAGACTACTTGACTATTTGATGAACAAGCATCTTCAAAGGCAATTTAAAAAATGCAGTACTTAAGAATTCTTTGTCTTCACACTAACACAGAAGCATTTAAACACCACCTAAGGTTGTAGTTAAAGCTAAACAAAACTTCCATTAGATAAAAAGAGTATTTTTAAGATTGATCCAAATTAACCATTGTAGCAAGACTATCCAAAAAGTCTCAACAGCTTCTACTGGAAGCCAGGCATTCCTAGAAGATATACTACAATCAAGCAAGCAGGTTTGAATACAGAGACAGTCAGTGAAACAGAGTGAAGAAACATATGCAGGTATCAGGTATTCAGAGAAGACTATTCTTTTTTGTCCTTAATTTCTGCAAATGCCAACACTTATCAACTAGAACTACGTAGCAAAAGCTTTATAAAGCATCCTCTTTCATACATGAAAGATCACAAAGCCCAAAATACTTCCCACAGTAACTGATAATTTTTTTCCTCTTATGAACTCCTCTGTGCTACCTTCCAAATATGTTTTCTATCAAACTAGATAAAGAATGTCAAGTCAAAAAAAAAAAAAAAAAAAAAAAAAAGGTGTCCCAGTAGGATATTCCAGCCACATTCTGGAAAAACACAAAACAGGAGATAGTATTCTGTACTAAGAAAGAAACTGTTTCTTCTGTTTGTGAGGCCAACATAGGCTGATCTTTTATAGTCTTTTACACTTATCAGATCTCTGATCTTATTTCCCACCTTCTAACTGAGGTGGACTTTAAAGAAACAAAAAGCACACAGATCATCTATCAAGTATTATACTGAATTCCTGAAAAATAATTGTATTTTTATTCTCTTAGTTAACTCATTACCTTGCTTCCTTACAGGCAAATAAGTAAAAGAAGCAACAGAAATTGTTTTAAGAAGTTGCTAAGTACCATTTGTAGTTTTATACCTTTTTATGATTGGAGACTCGCCTAAGATTGTCCTCTTCAATGTGAGGCAGCTGCAAAAGGGGAGACTTGAACTGTTGAAGTCCCTGGACAGTCATCTGTGAAAGCTTCATGCAATTTTCCAAAGATCCCAAAGATGGAGCACGGAACTCCCTTTCTTGGGGAGAATGAAACAGACGACATCATTTTTAATTTTTTTCTTTTTACACTTTTGCAATGTATTCCTGTATTCTAGCCTACAGAAAACCTTGTTTTCAGTCAACCAAGCAAAGAAAGAGGCATCTTAAAACGTTCAGCTTAATTAACCAGGCAGCCTTATTCCTCTCACTGCAATCACATAGCTCAGCAGACATTTTCTTCCCTCTGTTTAGGCTACGACAGCTAACACTGAGAAAGGGGAAGACATCCATCTAGCACTGTCTCAGGGAACAACAGCACAAGGTACCTATGCAATCCTTACAGACAAAAATTCCACCACTCAAGTTTCTTTTTTAAAAAGCAGCATCAAAACCAACTTGTTTTAAATTTGTATATTTTATACGTATGTGTGTGTATATATATATAAAAAACACATTTAGCTCTACTTTGTAAGCATATCATTAAATATTACTTTTCATTAATTACACAAAGCTATAATCAGCTACCAAATCAAATTACATGGCAGGACTTTTTTTAACCCAGTATATTAATAAATACTTTAAAGATTATACGCAATGCAAAGAGAAAAATAACACATGAACGGAACTATCCAGCTAGACATACGGATAAGTAATGGAGATAGATGTAACCTCTACACTTCTGCTTTTCAAATAATAAAAAAAAAGTAACGGAAAGACTAATCTCTCAACTAAATAGCACAAAATTTCTTTCCATCTTACCTATCTTCCACCTCCCCTGTAATGTTTTTGGCTGCTGCTAAGGGAAGTCACAGGATTTTTTTTGAATTAAAAAACCCCCACACTGTAAACCAAGCTAATAAAAGAATCCTAAATATTCTCTGACAAACTGTTTTCGCAGGAAATTCACCTGGAGCTTTGAGACCACAGAGCACTAGTCAGAGAAGAGATCCTTCTCTTTCTTAAAGTATTGACTCCCCATCCGCATGACAGTAGAAAAACATTTTAACAAAGTTGGAGAATATTATTTTGGTTTCCTGAAATTAACACAGGACTTTATATTCCCTGAGAGTGGATTTGAGGACATTATAGCTTTTAACAACACCCAACCGCCCCCACCATAAAATGAATGCCATTACTGCACATATTTTGACAGCTTCTGCTTGTCAAAGTGCACAAGACCAGACGACCTTTCATCTAAGGTCATAAAGTCATCCAAAACATATGACATTAAAGTAATCAATCACAAATTTAAATGCAAACCATAGTTGCTTGTGAAGGAATGGTATTTACCTGGGTCAAACCACAACCTCTTCACTACACTGCAGCTTCCAACCTGAATTAAGAAATGCACTTTGACTGGACAGCTGAACCCAATGCCTAATCTTTTGGCACAGAGTCACGAGAGCACATTCCACGGTTTTGGCAGCAAACACCTCGCCTGGCAGGGCAGCTCTCTACTTGAAGATACTTAAGGAGGATCTCAAAGAAGCCATCACGATAATTTAGACCCCCCCTGATTGTCAACTATCAGTTAATCATCACAAAACGATGGATGCAAGCAAGCGGTGCCACAGAGCCAAGTGTATTTTCAGGGAGCTGCATGTAAGAAGAAAGCCTCTCAGACTATGCAGAAATCGGGCACTGGCATGGAAGTCAGAGGAAATGTTTGGTACGCATTTCTGAATACTGCTATTTTAAAACATTGGAAATAACTTTGAGAAAACCTGCTACAGAAATACCAAACAAATCCTCAACTATACTTGGAGTTTTTCCAAATCTACATAAGTAACTTCTACCATACATAACAACAACTATCTCATCCACATTCACAGACTCATTCAGGTTGGCAGGGATCGTGAAAATCTCTAGAAATTATTACTAGTAGAGGTTGTTTAGGTTTTTTGGTTTTTTTTAAATAACCATCAGTTCCATTTCACATTCAAATGGAAAATTAGTTTACACTCTTCTCTTCCAAAATACTGTTTTGTTTTTTAATTTTAACCTAAGCTAAATCCTAAATTTTCTGGAACTTCAAAGCAGTTTATTGAATACAGTAAAATGATTACTCATAGATGCAGGGTCAAATTAAAGAGGTATTTCCACATACATAAAGAACTAAAGGAGAAGAATACAGCTACCTGGAGGTCATTCAAGTTGTAAAGTGTAACATGTACTGTTTTAAGTATCTTATTTCAGCTTTTACAAGAAGATAAGGGGGTGGGTTTTATTTTTCAAACACTTCCTGTTCTGTTGCATTAAAAAAAGCTTCTGGCTGTATTATTTTGGTCTCATTTTGCACAAGTGAAAACAAGTATTTGCTAGTTGACTAATATATACATATGCCACCTTAAAAGACATCTTCTAAAGGTCTGAAGGATTTTATAAAAAACCTATCCAGATTTGGGGGGGTGGGGTGGGGAAGAAGTAGCTATATTTGTCATATGCAAAGGCTTATAAAAAGTAAAAATATGTCTTCACTCAAGTGCTTTTCATAATTAGCTATAGTATGTGTCCTTGGTCTTGCTGAGATAGCAAAACTTAAAAAAAAAAAACCACAAAAAAACAAACAAAAAACCCCCAACACTTCCAGAACAGCTGCTTAAGCTTTTTATGAAATAAATTACTATTAAACTAATAAAGTTTCACAGCATTAATATCCACATCTTAAATCTGTATTGGAAATCTTCGCAATTTAGTTACAGTGCTAGTCTGGAGAATATTCACAAAAACATATCCAATATCTATCCACAGCTGAGTTCTTAATGTGATACTCATTAATAAATACAATCTAATGTTAGGTGAAGATTATTTCTACAATGAAAAATACAGCTACTGTTCCCTTCCAGGTCTCGGGTTTTCTCCCCAGCAGTCTCACAGAATAGCAAAGATAGGGTTTAAAGAGAAATAGAAATATATTTAATCAATACTTCTTTCTAAAATAGGACATGTAAGCCAGCATACAACACCCTTATCTGCTCACGTCCCCTCTCTTGTACTTTATTTGGTTATGGAGCACAATTTCTAGTACTCCTTACAATAGTGCTGGGAAAGATCTTCCCCAGAACCATTCTTGTTAGGAGACTATCAACGCTTGTTAAAGGAGTTTTGATCTAGTAAAGATCAGCCAATGAGTCTTATCTGATGGCAAGCAAAATACAATGCATTTTGGCATTAAAAAAAAAAAAAAAAAAAAAGGCCTTGCCTATGTTTGTTGCAGTAATGGAATAAGATCCAAGTCTTTGTTTCTTTACACTGCAAGCAACCATCTTCAGTATAACTGCCTTTTTACAGTAAAATCAAAAAAAGCTTAATTTTTATTTCAATTAAATTGTAATTTCTATGGCAATTATGGCAAAGGACCTGCCAATACAAGTTCAGGAAAATAAAAAAACCCTACATAGCAGGCTCAACAGCACAGGAACCAGAAATGGAGAAATATGAGCAACACACAAAGATATGATGGCAAAGAAATGAGCCAAAACAAGTGACACTCATAACTGAAGAGGAAGAGCTGTGAAAGTGTAAATTTAAAGACGGATGAACACAAGGTTCAACATATCTTATACCAAGTGCTTTGCTACCAAAAATGGACCAGATCTTTAAGAAAAGGTTTTCCATCACATTTAAGGAGAAACTTAATTGCAAAAATTACAAAATGAACACAGATACTCAAGATTTCAGAGTAGGGCTTGGTGGAAGCAGCAGCATTTCAATCTTCAAAATGGAGAGCTCTCATTACAGTGAAAAGAGCAAAAGAGCATTTAGGCATTTCTAAATATCACAGGTTAAGATTCCCACAAGAACAAAAGACTTTATGAAATATTGCAATGAAGAATCATATTTACTAGTTTTAATTATACAGTTTCTTTTCTTACCTTCCCGGCTTCGAGCCATTATTATTAGTTGGCAGATCACATTAATCATTTCTTGAAGTAGTGCAGGACTCTTTTTCAGGATAAACTGCTGATCTGCAAGACATAACTGGCTGCAATTATGCTGCACTTCTAATAGGAAAAAAGGGGGCAGTTTACATAAACTGGACATTTAATGGTGTCGTCTTCATTTCTATTCATTCTTGTATTATTGAAAATACCACCTTCCTTCACACTGACACATCTATCCATAACATTCCCTAACAAAACAGGATAGAGCAAGTGCTAAGAGAGAACACAAGTTTTGTGTACCAGACAAGCAGCTTCCACACCAAATGAAGAAGTACTTGTTAGATCCATCTAAAAAAATCAATAGGATGGCACAGACTATTTACGAGTCTTACTAAAGTACCATTAATTCTTCAGGTAAACATAAAATTAAAAATACTTTTTTTTTTTAACCTAAGTGAAACACCAATTCTGGGAAAAACATTATTTGTAAAGTACTAACTACTTTTGATTACAGATCTGTGAAGTTTTAAGGACAAATAGTAACTAAGTGGCAAGGAAGAGGTATTTTTAGTGGCTATTTAAAATTGATCATTTTTGTTTTGAAAGAAACTGTAAAATTTTAACCACAGCATCTTCATTGTTTGGTTGGTTTGTTTTGGTTTTTTCCATTTGCATTAAAATGCAGAACATCTCAAGTTTGCTGGTCAGCCTAAGAAACCCTGAGTTTCATGGTTGAAACTTAAGAGCTGCATTTAGAAACATTTCAGTTTGTGTATTTACAAGTATGAAAAATTGTAAAACACAAAACTGAATCTCATATGTAACTGATATTTTAAAGTTCTAATCTTGCCACCCTTGCTTTACACAGCAGGGGGGGAAAAATTCCCAAAATAACAAATTGAAATGTCAGAGAGCGCACTATTATGCTTATCTTGGATTTCTTTACTCTGAAAAGCAAATACACTTCACATGTTTAACTTCTTATTCTATTACAAGGCCAAATTTATCAAAGTCACATTTGCAGCCAAAAAGCATTAAAAACTAGGATATTAGTTCTACAGGGCTATCAAGAGAATGGGAAAATGCTAAGTAAATGTTTTCAAGAGTCATTAAAGTTGAAAAACTAAGTACACTGCATAGAGATTATTGAGCAGAGATCCATGCAACATGTCCATTAAAATGGACAAAAAGTATGTTTACGAGTACTGTAGCACTGTACTTGTGTTGCGCTGTTTCAAACAGTATCCAATTAGTGGAGAAGCCATTACCTTCCTCAAGGACTTCAGGAACTTTCATCCTGGCAAGATGAGTCAGCAGCAGAACTCTGGCTTTCAGGCTGTAAGGGCAGGTGAGTGGAGGCTCATTCTTCTTTAAATTTATGCCACCAATTTCTCTGATTAGCTAAAATAAAATAGTTAAATACAAATAGCTATTTTGGTGCTAAAGAGAAACAAAAAGAGGAGGAGAACCATTTACAAGGAAAAGTTACATTCACAAAAGCAAGCCTTTAAGTATCTTTTCCCTGGAAAGTTCTGTAGAGACGAACATTAGCCATTTTTATTCATAACCCAGCTCCAAAAAGTATCTTTAAATGCCTTGTTTCAATGTGGGGTGAGGGGGGAAGTAAAGATTTGCACACAAGAAAATTGCCTTTAACAGTATTGAGTAAATTCGTATTGACGGATACATTTTTTTAAATCTGATTTTATTGCCAAGGTTTACTAGATTCAACCATTATTCTACGGTATTTATAGTAAACTCAATATGCACTAGCAACAGCATCATCTTGAGACCTTTCATCCACCTAAGACCTAGCCAACTTCCTCAGAAATAGTTTCAAGTATCACAGGAAGGAGGGTTATAAGCCTGAACTCCCGGGTAGGCTGAAGATCAAGTATTTTAACTTATTTATAAACAGCACCAACTTGAAAAGAAGCATGGTATTCTTTCTTCAGGATGACCTATCTTGATCCTGACTAGACCAAGATGCGCAGTTCAAACAGGTCTCTCACGTGAATTTTCTGAAGACCCTAAGGGAGGCTGCAAAGCTGAGTAACAGAAGCTCATAGTTTGTAAGAATCAATAGATGGCCCAGAAGCTTCACTTTTTAGGTCAACAAGTCACCTGAGGAGAGACTGAGGTTCCAAAATCTCCAACCACAAAGGGAAG